ATGACAACCACCTGTCGGAAGCTGAAACCCAAATCAACCAAGTGAAGAAAGCGCTGGACGAACTCAAACTTGGGGATGGAAATACAGCTCCCGTAGTAGCTACTACACCTTCGCTACGTGGGTTCAAAGTGCCGCCGTTCGACGGGACTTCCTCCTGGTCAGCCTAAAAAATCCAGTTTGATGCTGTTATGAAGGCGAACGGCTGGAATAAAAGTCAGGCCATGACTGCTCTCACACTAGGCCTGCGCGACCAGCACTTAACTGTTCTGGAAGCTCTCGGTGAGAAGTGACTTATGGGCAACTCCTTGAGGCATTGGAGGCGAGATATGGCGACGCTCACCTGGAACATGTCTTTCGTGCGCAGCTTAAAGATCGCGTGCAGCGCATCAACGAAAACCTGCAGCAGTGGGCTCTAGAGGTGGAGAAGCAGGTGCGAAAAGCATACTGGTCTGTACCTGCGCTCATTGAAGGGAACCTGGTGCAGACATTCATCGACGGCATCCGCGACCTGGAAGTCAGAGCTGCTGTGAGGCTCGGGCACCATGAGACGCTTAAGGATGCCTTGGCCCATGCACTGGAGGTGGAAGCCGTGCGGCAGGATCATCGTTCCCATCGCGTCAGGGAGGTTGCAGCAGCTACAGTTCGCGACCGCAAAAAAGGATACAGCCCTAGGTGCTATGGCTGTGGAGAAAAGGGCCATCTTCGATCCAGCTGCCCTAAGCGAACCCTAGAAAGGGAAGGTTAACGATCTCAGGAGGGTAGTGCGGCCAGCAGCACCGCCCAGCAGCAGCAGGGAAACGAGTAAAAGCCAGAACTGCGGGGTGGGTGCTGGCTGATGTTAAAAGAGCCCCAAGGATCGCGAACTCACAAACCCATGATGGGAACAGTCTAATCATCAAGGGCAAGGTCAACGGAATGCAGTGTAAACTGATCATAGACACTGGAGCCTCTCGTCGTTTTTAGTTCCCAACTTATAAGTCAGTTCCTTGGGGACTCCGCATACAACCGAGAACGCATTAATTTGCTAACAGCCACCGGTCAGCGTATACCCGTCCGTGGAGAGAAGGAGATGGAGTTGAAGCTAGGCAACGTGATCTACCTGCATAATGTCATCGTGGCTGATATAATGGACGACTGCATCCTGGGCCTAGACTTTATGAGGGATAATTGTTGTGAGATCGACGTTAAGCAAGGTATTATGAAATGTGGACAGGAGGAACTTTTTATGGAAGGTAACGCACCTGCCAGCCAGGGAACGTGTACAGCATTAAGAAGATTGTTCTTCCGCAGAGATCGGAAACGATTGTGCCGGTTAGTCTTCCTCAAAACACTGGGTAAGCTCACCGTTGTGTACTTGTGGAAAGGGTAAACAATGACCTTCCATGGAAAGTAGCCCGAACCTTGGTCAGAACCACTGACATCTCAGGAGTACGCGTGCTGAACCTTTGTGACCGGGAACAGATTATAGAAAAAGGTACGCTGGTTGGTACTTGTGAGGAAGAGGACTGGTTACGTCGGTGCCAATATCTATCGAGTGAGACCTCTAGCAAGGATGCACAAACGAGATTGACCACACATTTGGAAGACTGTCGCAGCGTTCTCTCCCCGAACGAAATGGTCAAGGAGAAGAAGTTGTTACTCAATTATGCCGATGTATTCTCATCAAACGATGATGACATAGGAAAGACTGGCTTAGTTCAACACAAAATAAACACAGGAGAAGAATTGCATATCCGTCAGCGGCCAAGAAGTTTGCCGGTAGCACGTGAAAAGGAAGTGGAAACCATGATTGAAGGAATGGTGAAGGATGGTGTTATTGAACCTTCCTCTAGTCCATGGTGTTCACCCGTGGTGCTGGTAAAGAAGAAGGGTGGCAGCATGCGGTTTTGTGTTGACTACCGCCGTCTGAACGACGTTAAGAAGAAGGACAGCTATCCCTTGCCAAGAATTGATGACACGCTGGACATGCTTACAGGTGTAAAGTGGTTTAGCATGCTCTTCTACTTATATGGATCTTAAAAGTGGCTACTGGCAAGTTGAAATTGACCCTAAGGACAAAGAGAAAACTGCGTTCTCGACGGGAAAGGGTCTGTGGCAATTCAAAGTAATGCCGTTTGGGTTGTGCAATGCTCCAGCAACGTTTGAAAGGCTGATGGAACTTGTACTTACCGGGATAATTGGCGATGCTTGTCCGGTCTACTTGGATGTTGTCTCAACGGAATGGTGACCAAGAGGTCGTGATAGCGTACTTCAGCAAGTCGTTGTCAAAACCGGTAAGGAACTATTGTGTCAAGACAAGACGTGAATTGCTAGCTGTAGTAAAGTCGTTGCAGCATTTTAGCAAATATCTTCTGGGGCGAAAATTTCACTTACGAACTGACCATGCTGCACTAAAATGGCTATTGCAGTTTAAAAATTCAAAAGGACAAGTCGCGAGGTGGATTGAACTATTGCAGGAATACGACTTTGAGATCGAACATCGCAGCGGGAAATCTCATGGCAACGCAGATAGATGCATTGTCAAGAAGACCTTGTCCTGAAGATTGCAAATATTGTACTAGACAAGAGAGTAAGGAAGTAGTATCCGTGAGGATGCTCAGGATAGACCACCTCAGCAAAGAGTGGAAGGACAGCTTACAACATTCACAGCAGGAAGATCCGGACATAAAGCCGATTCTGGAATGGATGAAGGCCAGTGCTCCCAAGCCCAAGTGGAGCGACGTCTCAGCGATGAGTTCGACCACTAAAAGCTATTGGGCCCAATGGGACAGCTTGATGCTTCAGGATGGAGTTCTGTGCCGTAAGTGGGAAAATGTTCGGGGAGACAGCTGTCATTTGCAAATAGTTGTCCCTGAAGCTAAAGTACCGGATGTTCTACAGCTGTACCATAATGATTGTTTAGGAGGCCATCTGGGAGTTAAATGAACTCTACTGAAGATCCGAGAACGGTTTTACTGGGTCCACTGTCGAAACGATGTCGAGGACTGGTGTCGCAAATGTACAAGTTGTGCGGCTGTAAAGGGACCTCAGACTCGTAGAAGATGTGCATTGAAGTTGTATGATGTTGGTGCACCATGGGAGAGAATAGTCATTGACGTGGCGGGCCGTTTCCGGAGAGTGAAAGCGGTAACAAGTATTTCATGGTTGTGATGGATTACTTCACTAAGTGGCCAGAAGTCTTCGCCATTCCAAATCAAGAAGCTTCAACAATTGCAGATAAACTAGTTCATGAAGTCTTTTGTCGTTTTGGAGTACCTTTAGAGATTCACAGCGATCAAGGAAGGAATTTTGAGTCTCAAATATTCCAGGAAACTTGCCGAGTTATGGGTACTCACAAAACAAGAACTACTTCTTATCACCCGCAATCTGATGGAATGGTAGAACGATTTAATCAGACATTGGAGAGGTACCTAGCAAACGTTGTAGACGATCGGCAACGAGATTGGGACAAGCACATACAACCGTTTTTGTTGTCATATCGAAGCGGTGCTCACGAAAGTCCAGTACACCAGCTTTCGCAACCTTTGGAAGAGAATTACGGCTGCCTGCAGACCTGATCACCGGGATACCACCTGATGCTCCACGCAGTATAACCGATTATGCAAATGACTTGCGGAACAAAATCAATGACATTTATGAGCACGTCAGACAATCGGGGCAGCAAATTTCCGAAAAGATGAAAACCCGGTATGACCGCAAAATGAACATCAAAGGGTTCGACGAATGTTCACTAGTGTGGTTGCACAATCCAGTCCGCAGCAAAGGGAATACTCCCAAGCTTCAAGCTAAATGGGACGGCCCGTACCGGATTGTGACCAAGATCAACGATGTAACCTACTGGATACAGAAAGGCGCAAGAGAGACTCCTAAGATCGTCCATGTGGATCGCCTGGCGCGTTATTATGGGGCCGATAATGCTCGGGACGAGCATGTCTTAAGAGGGGCAGTGTTGCGCGCCTAAGTTGACGTCTGGCACTAGCGCCATCCGGTGTCGGGTAACAAAGCGAAGAGAGCTTTCCAAAAAATGACATGACTAATCTTTCGACCAACAGTGCCATCTAGTATCGAACAGAAGAATTAAGCTTTCTGGAAGCCCCACACTCGAACTTTCTGCGCCTGATCGGTTGGCACACGTATTTACTTGAATATTCTGAACGTTTCGGTGAAAAATGTGTATTTAAAGGCGCTGCAAGACGCGGTCGGGGCATTATTGAGTTTGGCGAGACAAGCGAAGCTTCGGAGCGAAATAAAGTGAATCAGTGTGATTAATTATTAGTGTTTTAAGTTTTAATTGGTGTAAAGAAAATTAAAGTGTAAATTTTGGTAATTCTATCGGCAATTTTTATTGTCACGAACCCTAAGCTCGTAACAATATCAACAACAGGAAAACTCTGTTATCTCGGCGAGATTTTATCATGTATAAGGAGATCAACTCATAGAGCTCTGGCTACGCACGACAACAATTATAAAACGTGACATTGAGGAGTGACATCAGGAGCATGATACAGGGTATTCTTGAAAATATAGAAGCCTCTGTTGATTCCGCATCGGTTGAGCAGAAAATATGTTACCTATGTACGTCGAAAGCCCGAAGAGTGATGAAATACGTGTTGCATTAAATGCGTGGTCCCCATACTGTTGACATATGTAATGACGGTGTATAATAATCAGAGAATTTTATACTTAGAATAGGAGTGAAAAAAACCACTTTCAATTCACTTTATGGTAAGTGTACGCTGCGGCCGATAGACACCTACATTTATTGGCGATTAGGAATCAAAAAGCAAATGCTATGTCATCTCTGAGGTCTAAGATGGAAGTTTACCAGTAATAATATTGCTTCTGTAAACTTTTTAAACAGTAACACAACAGTGAACGCACTACTGTTCGTCGAAAGAAATAGATTAGAAGATGGTACCTAACCAGATGAACTTCTAGGCAGAACGAGGTCTAACATCTAGATATAAGTACACTATAAACTGGTTGTGTTGTATACTTACAATAATGAATATAGGACTGATGAACTTCCAGCATATCCTCCAATATATTCCCGGTCTGAAGCCTAGCATCTCTTCAACATCGTCGGAGAACCTTTTTAAACCTGAAATCAGACAGATGGTGTTATATTAATATACTGTGACGCAGTTTTTTTTTTTTAAATGTTTGTCTTTTCATTCCATCTCTGAGACTGGTCAGAAACATTGCACTGTGAAGCATTTTAGGATATTTTTATTCCAGGTTTTTTCTGTTAGACGTGCTTAGTGCATACATTTGCATACACCGGTGAACCTGATGTACATATTGTTACACTATATTGAAACTACTTAACATATTTTCTTATAATTAATTACATTTTATCTATAGACTATTTAAGTACGTATTTTTTTCCTTCGTTTATTTTCTTTTTTCACTTTTTTACATTTTTTCTTTCTTTTGCAATATTCATTTTCAAGTAGTATATATGGAACATATATAATCTTACAAAATTTTCTTGTTCTATGTTCCTATATCTATCTTATTTCTACAACGTTAACTATACGATCTTATTTCTTGATATTTTTCTTTTGATCTATGTTCAAACTGCAGCATCTGATCTTATATCTTGTTGTTCTTTCATAGGCCTTTCTCAATACAATACACTCTTAAACAGTAGCAAGAACACTCTAGACTTAATCTTTTCAGCTTTCCCGATAAAAGTTCAAAAATCTGAATTTGTGCTTGTTATAGAAGATGTATATCATCCAGCTCTGTACATATCTGCGACGGACATCTTAGTACCTTCATGTAGGCCTTCTTTTAGGACTAAATATCAATTTAAGCGAGCAGACTACCGTAGTATGAATGATTTACTTTTGAAACAAGACTGGGCTTTTATCACAAGGGAAACAAGTTTAGATCGTGTTACTGATAAATTTTACAGTATAATAAATGAATTAATTGAAAAATTCGTTCCTAAAATCCGATGTAGTGGTAATTATTCTTATCCAATATGGTACAGCAGAGCACTAATTAACCTTATAAAAGAAAAGAGTAAATTGCACTCTAGTTGGAAGAAGCATAAAAATCCGATTGATTACGCAGACTTTTCGGAGCTGAGAAAACGACAAAAGATACTACAGCAACAATGTTATAAACTATACCTAGCACGCACTCAAGAGAATATTAAACATAACCCCAAAGCTTTCTGGAGTTATGTAAAGTCTAAGCGTAAAAACCATTCTGATTATCCTCAAGAAATGACATACGGAGACACTAAAGTGAATAACCCAATAGCAATCTGCTCGTCATTTAACGACTTTTTTAAAAGTAATTTTACTAAATCTATTGACAATAATTTGACTATACGATCTGATAATTTAAATTTAAATGTGATCCAAGATATTGAAATAAATCCAGAGAAAGTTAAGAATTTAATTTGTAAGCTTGACATTACGAAAGGTGCCGGTAGCGATAAATTGCCTCCTGTATTATTTGTAAAATGTGCAAAATCCTTATCTGTTCCTATAGCACTATTATTCAATAGGTGTCTTCGCGATGGCTACTTTCCAAGTATTTGGAAGGAAGCCCATGTTGTACCTATACACAAGAAAGGGCTGAAGACAATAATTGAGAATTACCGGCCAATATCAATACTCAATGTGTTAAGTAAATTGCTAGAAAGAATCGTTCATATGCACATATACCCCATCATATTACCTTCAATACCCCCAGAACAACACGGCTTTGTGAAAGGGCGCTCTACAGCAACTAACTTGGGCGCATTTATTGATTACACTACCTCAAATATGGATGGAGGGTCGCAAGTAGATGTCATTTACACTGACTTTGAGAAAGCCTTTGATCGCGTAGATCACATCATATTACTACGTAAGCTTTTTGAGCTGGGCATACGAGGTAACCTTTTCAGGTGGATGGAATCATATCTGTGGAAACGATCTCAGGCAGTAGTCTTAGGAGGGTTCCGTTCTGACTTCGTGGAAATAACATCCGGAGTTCCACAAGGTTCTATTTTGGGTCCTCTACTGTACGTGTGCTATCTATATGATGTGGGCAAGTGTTTTCATAATGCTAAGTTTTTGATGTACGCTGATGACACTAAAGTATATATGAAAATCACTGATTATGTAGATTGCATGAAACTTCAAGATGATCTTGTGCGACTTGGTAACTATTATGTAGTAAATCGTATAGGAGTTAATGTCAGCAAGTGTCTTTATGTTTCTTTCACAAGGAAAAGAGAACCTACAAATTTCAACTACCAAATAAATCACCTTAATATAACTAAGAAAGAATTAGTGAAGGATCTGGGGATATTACTGGATTGCAAGTTAAGCTTCTCAGAACATATTGAAACAATAACGCGCTCGGCCTACAAAAGCCTTGGCTTCATCCTACGTGTAAGCAGACCCTTTACTGATATTAACTGTATTAAATTACTTTACTTTTCATATGTTAGAAGCGTCCTTGAATATTGCAGTACTGTTTGGAACCCGCATTACACTGTTCATATAAATAACTTAGAACAAATTCAGCACAAATTCCTGAGACATTTAAGGTATAGAAATTTTATTTACACTAATAACTATGAAGAGTCTTGTAGATATTTCAATATAATAAGCCTTAAGGATAGACGTACTCTAATGGACATGACATTTTTGCATGGTCTATGTAATGGAAGTATTGACTGTGTAACTTTAGCTGATAGAGTTCTCTGCTTTTGTACTCCGAAACGTAGAACGAGACATACACCTTTGTTTGCGGTTGTTAAGACAAAGACAAACTATGCACAAAACTCTCTGGTGAATCGTTTACAAAAAGTTTATAATAAAAGATTCCACTCAGTTGATATTTTCCATTCCAGTAAGGATAAGTTTAAGAAGGATGTCTTGAAACTTCTGATGTAGTGAGTTTAGGTATTAGGTAACTCATTAACTCATACACACACACACACACACACACACACACACACACACACACACACACACACACACACACACACACACATGCCCGCGTGCGAGGGAGGCGCATACGAGCATTATGCATGTTGAAAATCTTTTAATTTTCTTGTAATGTTTTCTAGATGTTTAAAAATATGTATTTTTAGTCCCAACTACTTTGTCTTCAACATGTCCGTTATAAATTGAAAATACTATTTAAATAATGTAAATCCGTTTTTGGCTATAATTTAAGATCATAAGATGTATGTACGATGTAACAAAGAGCTGTGGATTTTGTTTGAAATAAATAAAAAAAATAAAAAATTGATATAGTTTCTTTGGTTATCTTACATAAATAGTTTATAAATATTTTTTTTATTAGACTTCATTATTCCCCACAAATTATCTTTCCGAACTCTTTATTTTATTTTTATTTTAATTTCATTTTTGGCTAAACCGTATTTTGGACAATCTACTATTAAATGGATTATCCCCTCTCTGACGTTAGGGTTACAAATGCATGCGGATTTATCTTTACAATTAAACCTAAGAACGAATCCACCGTGAACTGTCAGCACCTGTAAAAGCGCAGGGGTAAGTTTTTTTAAAAATCTGGTGCGCTTGTATTGCGGGAAGACGAGCTTCGTAACTTCCGCTGTACTGTGACACAGTTAGTATGGTTCTACAATTACAAATTAGGCCGAATGTTAGCTAACCTATTATTTCTACGACTTAGGCATCTTCAAGAAAAGAGCTAACTCCTTTCTTCTAAAAGGCCGGCAATGCACCTGTAAATTACCCTGGTGTTGCAGTTGCTCATGGCCGGCGACGGTCACCGTTAGATGAGCCAAATGCTCGTTTGCCCCCTCTTCTTTAAAAAAAATTCCTTACCTCTGTCGATTAAACGTGCTCAATCAATACAATTTTTCATGAAACTGGTTAAGAAACATATAATATAATTAATTTAATTCTCTAATTCTTTCTTTCTCTAACTACTCTCTCTTTTTCCTTTTTTATTTATGGTGACGACTATCGCCTGAAGTTTGGTATCTTTTAGTGCATTAGTTGTCATCGTTTATTTTTATAGTACACCCTACCTGGTAATATTTGTTCTTTTTTAACGAATTCAAAAAGGAGCAGGTATTCAATTCGGCTGTATGTTTTTTTTAAATGTTTGTAGCGATTTTAAAGATTCTTTTTTTATCTGAAAGTTTGTTCTTCTCGTGTGGTCCCATATAAATTTAATCAAGATCTGACAAGTAGATTTTGAGTTATCTTTAATAATGCGTACATCATTGACTTTTTAATTATATTGAAGTCGGTTGTACAAACATTTTAAATTTAAGCCTTGTTATTTTAACTCTTTTTCTACGGTGCCTGGAGGTAATTTTCGGGTAGATATAAAAGCGCCTGTTTTCTTCTATATAAATCTATATTTATCAAGTTGATCATTATTTTGGTGTTGGAATAAATTATTTTATTTATATAAAAATAAATATGCACATCATAATATGATCAATTAATGAAATAAGAATTTCTACATCTTACTAATTATAAATTTAAGCCTCAAATTGCTTGATTGTTTTTAACAGTGTCACACATATACGAGTACAGTCTATCACACAGTCAGTCAAATCAACTTGAACTTACCATAAAACCAGGAAACAGCTAGAGCCTCGAAGAGAGCGGAACACAGTAAGGATATTCCGGCTGCATAGGTGTCCAGCAAGTGGAACATGTAAATGCCCCCCTGAAAGCATAAAGACATTTTTAATGCATGTTTTTTTATAGAATAAGGGTGACAAACGAGCACACAGTCCACTGATGGTAAGTGGATGCTGTGGCACATAGACATTTATTTTCGATTAAGAATCAAAACGCAGATGCGTTGTCACCCCTGAAGGCTAAGATGGAATGCCTCGTTTTCATTAGAAAATGGTCTCCGGATCTCTACACCAACCATACGAAATCCAGCAGTATTACGCTGCTATTTTACGCTGGTATTCTGTGAGAGCGTGGTCCTTCCCCGGTCGAGCCAACCCATTCGCTATATTATGGTTGTAGCACAAATGGGTTGGCTCGACCGCGGAAGGATCACACTCTCACAGAAGACTAGCGTAAAATAACAGTTTAATGCTGCTGTGTTTCGTGTCGTTAAAAATATAAAAATATAACCCGTAGTCGGATAAAAAGCCTTTTCACTCTTGACTTGAAGACACATACTCTGACCTCTGGACCGTACGGTGGTCAGTTTGTGAAGACTCACCGGGGTGACATTGATGCAGGCGACGCAGAAGGAGATGGAGACGACCAGCAGCGTGAAGTGCTCGCGGCGCAGCCACTTGGCGCCGCACGCGCGCGCCTCGTCCAGCAGCCCGGTGATCACGCATTCCAAACCACCCATCTGACCACAACCGCGGTTAACTTTCTACAATCGTCAACGCTAATAATAAACTAAAAAAATTGGAATGACTATTGACAAATTTTTAGTCTTAGTTTTTCTATATTATAGTTTCTTTTTTATATTGTGTATAATTAGTATCAATTGTAAATATTATAATTTTAATTATTATTTTTATTTAATATTACGTATATAATAATTACTGTAATTTACTCTATTGATAACTGTATGTTTACTTTGTTTCAAATCAGTACCCTAGGAATAGATTGTCTTATTGTTACATTTCAGATTTTTGAAGTATACGTCCGCCATCTATATAAAAAAATAAAATTATATTGGAATACATAACCAATATATAAGAATACTGAAAGAAATTTGTAGTCAAACCACAGCAACAATAAGAATGGAGAGACCAGGACAGCCATTTAAAATCGAGAGAGGGGTGAGACAGGGGGACCCGATCTCACCTAATCTATTTACTTGTTTATTAGAGTACATTTTCTCAAAACTTGACTGGAGCAAACGACGCATTAATATTAACGGAGAAATTTTGAGTCATCTACGTTTTGCAGACGACATTATCATATTAAGCGAAAATCACGAAGACCTTATATATATGGTTCAGTCTTCAGACATAGAAAGCAGAAAATGTAGCCTACAAATGAATCCAGATAAAACTTGTATATTGACAAATAGCACAAAAATGCCTGTACACGTTCAAAACCAACAAATTAGATAATTTAATGAATATATTTATCTTGGGCAAAATATTTCATTTCACAACTTACAATGACGGAAGTTAATAGAAGAATTAAATTAGCATGGAGCAAATATTGGTCACTAAAACATATTTTCAAGGCAAAAATACCAATTAAATTAAAAAAGAAAGCGATGGATACTACTGTACTCCCCACTTTATTATATGGATGTCAAAACTGGGCTCTCACAAGGAAAATAATATGTAAGCTACAAGTTTTCCAACGAGCAACGGAACGCAGCATGCTTAACGTTAAACTAAGATATCGGCATAGAAACAGTGATATACGAAAAATAACAAATATCATAGACTCAGCCAAATTAGCGTGTCAACTGAAGTGGAGATGGGCAGGACACGTGGCAAGAGTCAGTGATGGGAGATGGACTGAACGGGTGCTACATTGGTACCCGCGTGATGCGACGCGCTCGCGCGGCCGCCCGCGGGCACGCTGGTGCAACGATATTGTAGAGGTGGCAGGAGCAACGTGGACGAGGCTAGCGGCAGACAGAACCTCATGGAAAAGGATGGAGGAGGCCTTCACCCGGAAATGGGTATCCCATGATTAATTAAAATTAATATAATAAATTATGATACTATTTTATGTGTACAGCCAAATTCAGTAGATTATTATTAACTTCAATTTTATTATTTTTAACTATATATTTTGTGACAAAAATCAAAATAGGTTGACAATTACTTAAAAATATAAATATAAATCATTGAGCTATTATGTACTACGTACTCTAGTACAGAGGCGACATTGCGTTCAGCTACTATGTTCCACTCAACTGCGGTGCATACACCGCACTTTAATCAGTCACTCGTTAGGCGCTTGTAGAGATGTCACGTGTTGTGTTGATTTAAAAAAAAATCTCTTGATAAAAATATGCCGTCGTGTGTATTTAGACATTGCACAAATAATTCAAGAAATGTCAGTAAAAACGAAGGAATTACTTTTCATAGGTTAATAAGATACTTAATCAATAAAAAAGTATTATAGATTAATAATAAAATAAATTATACCTAAGACGCCATCTCGTGTCATGGAATATAGATTATGAAATTAATATGTTCAGATGCGACATTTCTGTGGGTACTTAAGTATAGGACGAATATATTATTATACACATTTTTTTTGTAGAAACATATATAAGATTATAATCAGGCTAAATTTTTCATGTTTAAATCTGCTTTTCTTAATCTTTTATTTTATATTTAGGTTTCCACTTCAAAGTCAAAGTGGAATAAATTCGTCCATTTTTAACTCTCGCGTGCCCAGTATTTATGATCGACTCTTATTCTAATTTAAATAAATATATTTGTAATTTAAATGTTATGTTAATAAGTTTTCTTAAACATACATTTAGTATGTTTTTTTATATTTGACATAGATAGCTTTTAAAATATTCAGATAAAAATATCATTAAAATGTAATAGTGATATAATATTATGTAATATTATATCAAATAAGCAAATATAATATACAAAATAAATGACAAAAGTTAAAAATTGTTCTAGATATAATTTACCTATTTAACAAAACAATCTACTATTACCTACGGATCCTTCTACCTATGTTTATTCTATGATAAAAAACCAACCGCGCGAACACAGAGTAGCGCACATTTTTTGTTTGAGATAGCTGTTCTAGTACGTAAGTACATATTACTTCAATGATATAAATTGATTATTTACCCTAACATTATTTATAAATAATCAAAAATTAATTTTGTAAATTTAATTTAAACTTTTTATTTAAAATTGACACTGGCATTATCATGTCTTTTAATTAAAAAAAATTGCATGACTCATAATAATATTGTAATTGGTTTTAACTAATATCGACTGCTGTACGAAAATTGGGAATTAAATGGCTATTATTATTATTATTATCATTGGGGTATCTATATAATTTTCTCACCTGGTTGGGTTCTATAAATATATAATTATAAATTAAAATGAAAAGATAAATATACATAAATATCAATAAAATAAAATAAATACAAAAACTACATAAATAAATAAGATCCAACCAGATGGGAGCCCTCGGCAGGGGAGACCAAACGGCCGAGGGTTAAGGGGAAAGGGAAAGAAACCGGCGGACGATGCGGGCGGTATCGAGGAGCACCGCCTTCTGAATTTGAGCCCGGAGCGGTCCGTCACGGAGTCCCAGTCGCCTCAGATGACCCGAGAGGCTGACTGGGATTAGCCCATTCGCAGAGACAACTACAGGATTAATTTCGGTCGGCATACCATCCCACATGTCGGTCACCTCGTGAGCCAGATCCAGATATTTTGTTCGTTTCTCTGTTTCGGCTTTCACGAGGTTCTCGTCATACGGAATGGTAATGTCGATCAAAAATATCCGTGAATGTGCTCGGTGCATCAGCACAATATCAGGCTTATTCGCAAGTATAGTCCTGTCTGTGAATATGGCCCGGTCCCAGTAGAGCCTGGCACGGTCATTTTCGAGCACGGCTTCCGGCAAGTACTTGTAATACGGCAATTTTCGGTCCACGAGACCAAATTTCAGAGCGAGCTCCTGGTGTAGAATTCTGGCTACTAGGTTGTGCCTTTGCAAGTACTCATAGTTAGAAACCGCCGAACAACCGGAGATGACATGCCTAAGTGACTCCCCGGGATGGCGACAAGCTCGACAGACGTCGACAGTGCCATCCTTTAGGATGTATCTCCGATAGTTGTTGGTCTTAATAACCTGATCCTGTATTGCACAGACAAAACCCTCTGTTTCCCCGAAGAGGTCACCGAAACGTAGCCAGTTGAGGGAGGCAGCTGTATCTACGTGAGGCTCATGTAGAGCCCTGTAGTACCTCCCGTGGAGCTCCTTCTCCGCCGCCGGGTCTTGCCATTGCTCGTTGGCTAAGGATAGAGGGGTAAGTCCTTTATCACTAGAAATGACGTCATTATAGAATGGATCATCCGATCTCACCAGGAAGTAATGACGGAGGCTGCACCCCGAATGCAGGTATCTAGAAGCAGCCCAATCTTTCGCGGCAAGTACAGCCTCATTACCGACGATCTTGGATGATGCATCCTATGGGACGTCATTGTAGTGCGGACTTTTCTATCCAGGGCGTTAAGTTCAGTCTGACTCCACCTGAGTATGCCAAAGCTATACATGAGAACAGGCATGACCCAAACGTTATATGCATTTGTCTTATTCACACCGGACAAAAGGCTGTTAAGCACTTTGGTCAAGCGTGCATAAAACACGTCGCAAACTGACTGTTTACCATACCAGCCTCATCGATACCGATGTTCTGTGACATACCCAGGTATCGGTAGGTTTCAGCCTCGGAAAGGGCCCTTAAGTTGACAGGCATAGATAAGTCTATGCCCTCAGAGTTAGCAACCCTTCCCCTTTGAACATGGAGGACCGCACACTTATCCGTCCCCAGCTACATTCTAATAGAATTGCTAAATTCACAAGTGATGTTTTCTTATGGAATTATAAGATGGAAGCGACTGGAGGCGAATAATTTGAGGTCATCCATATAGAAAAGGTGGGTCACTTTTGTACCTCCTTTCCAAAGCTGAAATCCCCTCCCGGAGCCCTCCAGTAAAGTACTGAGAGGGTTCAAAGAGAGGCAGAACCAGATTGGACTCAGACAGTCGCCCTGGAATATACCCCTTCTTATCCTTATGCGGCTTTCCGCAGCCGTCATCCGCTCGCCTAGATGACAGAGGATCGTACTCCACTGCCCCATACACTTTACAGTCACGAACTGTACAGTCAATCTTGTACAGCTCGAGGACTCGAACTGTACAGTCAATCTTGTACAGCTCGAGGACCCTCTTTAGCCATGTATGGGGCACCGAGTCAAATGCCTTTCTGTAATCTATCCAGGCGGCGGAGAAGTTGCGACGGTTGCATTTCACCACTTTGCCAATGACCGCGTCAATGAGGAGTGGTTCTTTGGTTCCACGACCACCGCCACGACATCCATTTTGAGCGCGCGACATCACCTGATTTGAGTCCAGGTGACGAGCGATTCTCGCGCTCAAAATGGATGTTAGTGTCTTGTATATGGTCGGTAGACACGTGATGGGGCGGTATTTGCTCGGGTCTGTGGCACCCTGATCTTTAGGAACCAAATGAGTGATCCCAGTAGTGAAGAGGCTTGGGAGCGACTTCTGGTTGAGAGCCTCTTGAAACTGTCGGGCGAGCACAGCGTGACACACCTTGAACCCCTTCAGCCAGTAGTGATGCAGCCCGTCAAGCCCCGGACTTTTCCAGTTTGGGGCCCCACGGACCGCCTCAGCTACGTCATCCGGCGTTATGATGACGGGGTCCATGGGCGTAATACCCCCCGCACACTGACTCGCCACAACTTCCGTCCAAGGGCCCTCGTTGTGGTTTACGGGCTCTTACCACAGGCTGCGCCAGAATGCGACCGTGTCGGCCTGATTTGGTGCTGGGCCCGTTCCACTTACTATTGGTCGCTCCAATGATTTATAGAGCCTCTTCTGATCACTCTGGAAGAGACGATTCTGGTTGAACCGTGTCGACCTCTCGGTATATCGCCGAATCCGCTTTCCCCAAGCAGTGATTCTTTGCTTCAGGTCGTCTATGCGCTCCGTCAGTTTTTGCATTATATCCGGCTGGAACAAACTAACATTTGTCCCAGCAAACGCCATCCTGACGATGCGCACAATCCTTGGCCTGGTATTGTCTGACCTGAAGCATAACAGTCTGCCGATAAGGCCCTAGCCTTTGCGATACGTTCTTCAATTCTTATTCTCCAGGCTGGGATAGCACTACTTTGTCCAGTAGCGCGTCCATCCGTGGAAAGTTTGGCGCCTATAATACGGCAGACTGCCAGTGCGGCGCCAAAAAGAATTGAGTCCGTCTCGCAAAGGTCCCGGCTGGCTTCCAAATAGGTAACCAGCATTGGGTTCAGAGCCCTCACGACAGCCCGATCCGGCTAAGCGGGGGAGTCGCGGTCGATTTTCGAGAGGCGTACTGCGCGTTTCCACAATCGCCTCTTCCAATGTACTCCTCATTTGCTCTAGTTCCAGTTCCTAGGCGACTGTTCCATCATCGTCTGAATCAACCACAACTGGCGTGTTCACGGCGGCATCCACATTTGCCGTTTGCTCAGCAAGTTGTGGCGCCGCATCCTCAGCCGCAGCATTTTCACCCGATGCAGGAATTATTATTAATATTATTATTATCATTATTTTATATTGTGTATAATTAGTATCAATTATAAATATATTTTTATAAATATATTTTAATTATTATTTTTATTTAATGTTACGTATATAATAATTGCTGTAATTTACTCTATTGATAACTGTATGTTTACTTTGTTTCAAATCAGTACCCTAGGAATAGAATTTTGAAGTATACGTCCGCCATCTATATAAAAAAATAAAAATTATATTCTACGTTAAGCTAAAATTGTAATGTGTTCATTTAATTAAATATTGGTTTTCGATTTAAAAAAGTCTTCTGAGAAAGCTTTGACAATGTTTAATATAATTTGATTTATCTGCATAATGCATAAATAGTAGTTAAATGTAAATATTATTTTTTGTTGTAGTCATATTGCATTGTAATTTATTTTTAAAATTGCTACATTTACGACAAATTTTTATGGCTTCAGATGGCAATGCAATGTTTTATTTATAATATTATTTTTGATTTTTGAAGCTACTTGAGCTATACACAAACTTTAAAAAAAGACGATTTTTGATCGAATAACGTACGATTTTATATACCCGATTTCCGTGCGTCGGGTTTTAACGCTTTTTTAACTTATTGAATTTCGTATTGCCCTTTATATACATTAAACATGATACGTAAAACATGTAAGTAAATTGATAAAATAGGAAGTCCATGAGACAAATTCATAGGTTGCTCGAGTATCTATAGGTCGCCAATTGATGGTGCTTGCTCACAGGATATATGAAAGTCCTCAGTTCAGTTGAAAAGAATAGCTCAATGCAAGACTATAATACAACAAATAAGTTGCGTAATTTTCAGTTAGAGAGGACTATAGAATCCGGTTGTGTTCTGTAAATACCTCGTTTTACTTGCTCTCAAATTTTGTAATAAAGGATGTCATTTTAATCTATAGCCACACTATATAAACCACATCTTTCTACGTCGAATATAAAAAAAACGATTGTGTAGTAAAAAGGCAATATGCTAATAAAATAATAAATGTAATATGTTACCCCTGAGTCCAGTCCGAGCATAATCAGCATGAAGAAGAACAGCATCGCCCACAAGCTGGCGCCGGGGAGAGTTGCTACAGCTTCGGGATACACTTGGAACACCAAACCTGGTCCTAAATAATAAAGGGTAAAAATGAATTTTAGGAACATTTTGTTGGAATAGAGATATAGATTTTTTCAGGTATTTATCAGATATTAAAATATGGAATAGAAATATTTTATATAAAATCTTATGTGTTCGTTCGTTTGTCTTGAAATAAAAATATCTTATATATAAAAATAATGTTTGTTATCGTATACCGTCCACCAGATTGTGGTAAAACTTTGTCAAATTATTGCTTGCACTTGCGCGAAGGCTATAGGCATAGTACAATTAAATTACAGTAGTTGGCACGCGACAAATTTATTTGAATTATATAGTATACATTTTCAATGCATGCATGTATAATTCCTAATTGAAAAATATATCTTTTCCAAATTCAAAACGTTATTTTCAGAAATATTTCTTCTGCGGTAGCAACGTGACGGGAACCAGCCAGTAGAAACATAATAAAAACAATATATCACAACTAAAACTGAAATGTGGGTATGTTATATCGAAATAAAGAAAGAAAGAGAAATAATTATTTAACGTTTCGTTCAGCGCTAGACTTACGTGTCGCAAGTTGTAATGTTGAAACCACGCTCAACCTTTTATCGAGAGAGGCAAGCAAATTTACTTGCCATTAAAATATGAATAAGAAATGTGTAAATTTTTGTTTGTCTGTCTGTCAAGGCTAAACTTCGAAACGGATTGTGATGAAACCTCACTTACAGATGGAGAGCAATAACGGAAGTCACTTTAGCTAAGTGAGAAAAAAAACTAAGTATTTCGGATATTCGGCATCGACAGGAAGTCAATGGACGCAGGACTGTGGTTTGTGGCATTCCTTGAGGGAGGCCTATGTTCAGCAGTGGACTTGTGAAGAGTTGTAATGATGATATTTTTGGATAAAATTTAATTATCCGGAAAACTCAAAGATTATTTTATAAATGGAAAAATTGATGAATAAATGATCATTGATGATTATTTAAAAAAAAATCTGAATGGCACCACTCTAATAGATGTCACCCAGACGGAGGCGGGATGGGGCGAGAGTTTTTAATGTATTTGTATGTCTATTAATTAAAAGTAATTAAAGTATTTGATTTCAGCGCTAAATAATCTATCACCATTTTTCCACTTGTGGGTGTGGTAAGAGGCGACTATGGGAAATGCTAAAAAAATCTAATAAATGGTGGTTAATTTATCTTGTAAGCCAGATGTAAAATTCATATGTCTGGAGGACGGGGCACAAATAGACCAAAATTAAGATCTCGGCAGTAAGATCGAGGGAAAAGTCGGCGCTGCGTTATCTATCTGGAATGACGCAGCGGAGACGAGTAGCCGAAACTTAAAGTTGGGAAATTTCTGCACACCCAGACTGGTCTCAGATCAAAGGTGTTTCTGGTACTACGATCGTTAAACCCTCTGTCAAGCGATAAACGTGAATCTTTCTGAAATGACCGCAGCTGGAGAGGTCAATATCCAGCTGTAGACAGTTATGGGCTGATGCAAAAATATTTATGTTAAATAAAGAAAATAAAACTAACAATTTTGCTAGAATCGAATGTACCGAGTATTTGTGTGATGAATTAAAAGATCTTTTAGAAATATATCTCTAAGAAGTTATAGTTAATTCATATCGCTAAGTATTTCGATCAAATCAACATAGTTACAATGATAATACTACTAAAATTATATATATATATTACTAAGATTACCTTCAGTGGCAACAGAGGATATCGGTACTCCTTGCTTGTGTGACATGAAGCCCAAATACGTGAAGATTACGAAACCAGAGAAGAACGACGTAAAACAATTCACCAATGTCGTAACGAGGCAGTCTCTGTAACATTTAAATGCACAATGGTTCCTGTTCAGTCTTATAGTTAGTGCAAGCTAGGTAATTGAAACAATTTTTGATTGCTTTTTGTTTTATTTATCGTTGGCCAACGTATTATAATGTAAAAAAATCCGAGAACTATTGCAATATAACTTGTACAAATTGCATTAGAAAAAAATATCGATCTTCGTCGGTGAATATAATGTAGCAGGATTAATTTCTACATTATGCGACGACTATTCTTGCTTTGGTTTTATATTTGTAAGACTTGAGCATTTACCATTGTCAAATATTTGAAATTAATCAAATTCTTGTTATAAATTCAATATTAAGACCAAGACAAATTTTATCGTCACCTTCAAGTAGTGGTTATTCTTTATCAGAATTTTAAATGCGCAAAAATCTAATTAAATCATTAATTAGGAGTATTGCCATATTAATATATTCATTCATAACATTCCTATAGAGGATATTATCACCCAGCCAACCACACATGCAAGCACAACTAACTCAATCGTAAATTCACTTTACACGTTTTAAGCAGTAAAATGTTAAAGAAAAAATACCGAGACATCAATTTCTGTGTTTGGATGAAAATTTAAAATCCCCCAAATATTCGTTTGGCGTACTTTAAAATCGATTACATTACTTGAACTTTAATTGAGTATAAAAAGTCACAAAATAAGACCAACTATGTATACATATAATGTTACTTAATAAGATCTTTTTTTAATTTTTTTTTTATAGGATAGGGTGACAAACGAGCACACAGTCCACCTGATGGTAAGTGGTTGCTGCGGCCCATAGACATCTACATCTATCCTCGATTGCAAATCAAAATACAATATAAAAGCGACAGTAGCCTAATGGCAGGGCGCGGACCGCGAACTCCAATAGGTCGTGGGTTCGAATCCACCATTCGACTACTGACGTGAACCACTCGTAACACAAGCAATTTAAGCTTACCACGAGTGGTTAAGGGGAATATTAGTAATTAGTAATGTTTATAGCATTGTTAATATTCTTTATTTTAAAGAAAAAAAGTAAAGAAAAGAAAGCGTTGTCACCTGTAAGGACTAAGATAGAGTGCCTCGTTTCCAGTAAAAAGGGTCTCCGGTTCTCTACACTCACCATACGAAACACAGGAGCATTAAGCTACTATTATACGCTGGTATTCTGTGAGAGCGTGGTCCTTCCCCGGTCGAGCCGCCCCATTCGTGCTACGTATAAAATGTGTCCATTTTATGTGTAGAAGATCTTTAGCCATCAGAGCTACGACACAAAACTGATCAAGTGTGCGAAATGATAAGGTCGAATATACCTTGCAGTAGGACGCTTGAGTTATTGTTATATTTTGTATACCTGTAACAGTTGTTGTGGAATGTGTTATAACTGGCATAAGAGAGGTGGACCCCGAAGCCGGCACCGACCGAGTAAAATATTTGAACTGCAGCATCCACCCAGACCTGTAGACAAACATTAGGATTTTATAATACTCGCATTGAATATCAGAAAATAAAACGATTTGGTACTATAAATTAAATCGAGTATTCAATAAGTTTCATGTTTTCACGTTCAATCACGTTATGTCAATAAAGATTTATAATCATTTACCGAATTCCATAAAAATCCTGGAAAATCCTGTGCAATTTAATAAACAATTAAAAATATTTCTTATTAATAAATGTTAATTATAATTTAAATGAATTTTTTGACGATAAATAACGAGAAAGTAAAAATACTACTAGGTACATTGTATTTCAAATTTAAATTAATTTATATAAAATAATATTGAATGTAGCAACTACGTTTCCGTCAGGGTTGATATTATCCTTTTACCTATTTCTGATACTAAATTGCAGTAATTGCAGCTTCACTCCTGTGTGACGGTCTGAAGGGTACTGAGAGTATAATTACACGCAAATTAGTGAGGCGTTCGGAAACGACAACACTCTCTAGTCTTCTTTGTTTGAAGCTCGTTTCAGATGTCCGCGCACTGCAGGAGATACTTACATCAGATGGACTGTGAAATGGGGTTATGGATTCTCTTACGCTGGCGCCACACTAACTTTTTTTTTATAGATGGCCAGCCAAAATAACTTTTTTTTACAAATGTGTTAAACGTAAACGTGAAAACATCACTGATATATTTTATTATCTTTCAGCACTCAATAGCTGATTATTCTTACCTGCGTGTCCTTAAGTCTACTAAGTTCAGGTTGGAGGTAGTACGCGATACCGCGCGTCGCTCCGGGCAGTAATAACCCGCGAGCCAGTAGGATAGACAGCACCACGTATGGCATAGTAGCGGTCATCCACACCACCTTACCTGAGGTAATAGAATAACTTAAGTAAATACATATTTTTCTCTTTATTTATTTAGGGGCTTTAACCCCGTACAGATATTCAGTACCGTCATACCTTAATCTTTTTTACACACAGTTGAGAATTTTATTTTATTGAAAAGTACTAAAATTATTGTTGTTTCTTAATCGATGTAAAGTTCAACTGCGTTAGTAAAATTACCGTCGGATGCTGCAAATGTTTCGTTAATATGGTTATAAAATATAAATAAAGTTTGGTAGAACAACGGATTTTAAGCATTTAGTTACGGCACTGCGAGCCCCGGGTTTGAATCCTACACTCAGTAAATGTTCCAGGTGGGAATACCAGATTGGAAGACCAAAATATCTTGACAAAATTTGAAAATATTGGAAGTTTGGGACTGTTGTCAGGGGAAATAATTACTAAAAAATGTTAAATAAAAAGTTTATTTTATAAATGCACTTTATTTTATAAATGACTATAAAAACACATAACAAATTTAGGTGCACTTAATTTTTAGGCTGCATGTATTATTTTATTTATTGCTTATATTATAACATTTTGATGTTTTCGTTTTCATGTTTTAGCAACTTTCCAAAGTTCACCAATTTGGATTTTAATTCTAACACAGCTATTTATTAAATCAAAGGCAGCTGTGATGTTTACGTGGTAGAGCCATGCTGCAGTTATATTAGAAGTATAGTTGTAGCACGAATGGGTCGGCTCGACCGGGGAAGGACCACGCTCTCACAGAATACCAGCGTGAAATAGTAGCTTAATGCTGCTGTATTTCGTATGGTGAGTGTAGAGAACCGGAGACCCTTTTTGCTGGAAATGAGGCATTCCATCTTAGTCCTCACGGGTGACAACGCATCTGCATTTTGATTCGTAATCGATAGATGTGGATGTCTATGGGCCATAGCAACCACTTACCATCAGGTGGACTGTGTGCTCGTTTGTCACCCTATCCTATAAAAAAAAAATGTGAGGAGTAGCTGTTTGTCTCGAGATTTCGAGTTTTGTCGGGAATTTGGAGATCATTTAAAATGTCTGGAGAATCCAGACGAATCCCGACTTTCTGGAAACCCTAGTTCGAGGTCTGGACGTGAGCCCGTGTGCAGTTTATGTTTGTAATCTAATCCTAAAATTTAATTCGTTTTTAAAGACGTTACCCCCATAACGTCTTTAAAAACGAAATAAATATTATCCAAAAATATAGGTACTAACTAATTAACTTTTGTCAGCACTATTCAGACCGGTTTAAGGGTACCGAAAGCCGGGATATATGCAGGCTGCAAGGCATTCCTCTTTGGTCCATGGACGTGAAAACGCCTTTGAAGAATTCTTTGTTTGAGGTTGATTGCAGCTGGCACGTGCTGCAGTAGCCTCATACCATCAGATGGACTGTAACTTTGTTTGTCATTTTAATTTGATAAATAAAATATCTAAAAGAATCATCATCATCATCATCATCATTACAGCCCTTCACAAGTCCACTGCTGAACATAGGCCTCCCCCAAGTAATGCAACAAAGCACGGTCCTGAGCCACCTGCATCCATCGACTTCCTGCATATCTTACCAGGTCTTCACTCCATCTAGTGGGGGGTCACCCTACACTACGCCTACCGGTACGAGGCTGCCACTCGAGAACCTTTCTTCCCCATCGGTTATCGGTTCTTCGAGCTATATGGCCGGCCCATTGCCACTTCAGCTTACTAATCCGTTGGGCTATGTCGGTCACTCTGGTTTTACTGCGGATATCCTCATTTCTGATTCTATCACGCAGAGAAACTCCGAGCATAGCCCTCTCCATAGCTCGCTGAGCGACCTTGAGCGTCCTCATACGGCCAGCAGTAAAGGACCACGTCTCAGATCCGTAAGTCATCACTGGCAACACGCACTGGTTGTACAATTTAGTTTTTAGAGATAAAATCTAAAAGAATACTACGTTGAATTTTGATACCGAAACAAATTGGAATACGTAAAAACTATAAAAGCTTTAACGTAGTGTGTAAAATGAAAAATTACTAAAATGAAAAACCTAGAGCTAAGTAGATTGAGCCAGTTAACAGACGGTAACCGCATTTAGATATAAACATAATGTGGAACGCCCCCTCTCTCATCGTAGATTAGCATCGCTATCAGCCAGGTGTGGCTATTGGATGTGTGAAGCCGAAGAATGGGCTTAGTGGTGTGCCTTAGGAGAGGTATATGTCTATCATTAAACTGATGCAGGCTGGTAATGACGATTATGATGGTGATGTTTATAAAAATAAACAATTGTGTTAATTTAGCTTAAGTACTTACCCGAGCTTTTCACGCCTTTAAACAATGAAAGATATAGGGTAATATAGACAACACCCAAGCAAGCAACAAGCTGCCACTTAGGAAGACCCAGGTCGTTCAGCCCTTCCGAATACTGCATCTCTAGGACTGCCCGGCTATAATGAACAAATTTAAATTATAAACAACACTATTAGTATAGTTCGTTATAGTTTCAAACCGTATAGTAACTGCTAACTAACTAACCGTATAGTATCTTCACACAAAAATATTGGAATTAGGATTACCAGTACAAATAATTTTATTTAAAATACTATTGAACCTTCCGACCACAAGTGAGGTGGAATAAAGCAAAATATAGTGCCGTAATATCTTGATTTATACGTAGAAATGGAGGGAAAGGAGATTCCTTTTTCTCATAGAACAGGGGTGACAAGCCAGCACACAGTCCACCTGATGGTAAGCGGCTGCTGCGGCCTGTAGCCTTCTACATCTATCCTCGATTAAGAATCAAATGGAAATGCGTTGTCACCCCTGAGGACTAAGATAGAATGCCTCATTACCCGTAAAAAGTACTTCGGTTCTCTACACTCACTATACAAAACACAGCAGAATTCTGCTGTTTCACGCTGGTATTCTGTGAAATCGTGGTGCTACTCTGGTTGGACCGAATCATTCGGGTTGCAGCTAAAATATAGCTGCAGCATGACTCTATCACATATAAACCCTTAACCGATGAACGGATATGTGTTGGTATGTGAACGTGAAAGGGGCAAGCGAGGAGTGTCAGGATCTTGCCAAATGAAAGTCAGTCTCTGCTTAACGAATGTGACACTGGCAATAAACTAAAAAAATCTATCCTAAAATAAAACCATGAGTAAAGTTACAGCCTACATACTAGTCACAGGCACAGGTACAGGCTTCCACTCATTTTATGTAGAGATATGGAACAATTAGCTTACCGCACTGATCCATTGCTTGTAGACGGACCTCACGCCATTGAAATATGTAGGTTTATTCATTAGACATGCAGTTAACATTGCGATGCTTTCTTTCACCGGAGGGCACGTGGTATATCAGCATTTAATATTGTAATTAATAACTTAGTGGGTGCCGGTGGGGATAAAATTCAGGTTGATCGCGTAGTGTAAAATTTATGGCAAACGCTTAGGGCCAGTTCAGACAGAGATGCGATACAACGTGACGATGTTTGAAAAGGCCAGTGGTTTCGCAACGCACACCACGCAACCGCGCCGCTAGACGTATTGCGACGTCGCGAGGCGCATCCGCATCCGCGCACGGGCGGCACCTACTGACGAAGCACCGCTGTTATGCGTCGCGAGGCATCGACGTAGCATGGCATAGCGCGATTTTCATATTATCTCAATAAATTTTTGAGTAGTAAATAAAGTATATTTTTTATCTCTTTATTTTAAAAAGTACGCGTCACGTCTCAGTGTGAACAAACCCTTAGCCCCAAAATCTTCTTATTTTTTTTCCACAAAGTTTATTACTCACTGGAAAAACTCAGAAGCTGGCGTGAAATGTGAGAGTGGCCCCTGGTAGGGCGTGTCGGTGCGGTTGGTGGAATTAGTTCGGCCCGCGTCCCAGCACTGCTCCGTGTTCCAAACATTGTTACAGTGCAGCCAGGGCAGCTCAGAACGCGCAGACGACACCAGGAAGTAGAACGCCCAGCCTACATTCGCCAAAACCATTAAAAAATTTTCGTTTTATATTAGAGTTACAGCCTTTTAAAGCCCACTGCTGAACATAGGCCTCACCCATAGATTGCCTCATAGCCTATATATATATATATATATATATATATATAGGGGATATTGACACAGAATAAATAATAGTTCACTCTTTTGATGTTGACTGCTTGCCGACGTTTAATAACCTACATAATTATTAAGATAAATTGCGCACATAAGCTAAATAAACCTTTATCGCTGCGCACGAGTGTCTATAATACTTTGCATCTTTTCCCATTCCCACATCACGGCTATTTTTCCGTGGTTACTTAGGGCTGTCAAGAAAGAGTAAAAAGTACAGAATGTACAACATTAATAATTTATTTAATTTACTATTGTATTACTTTGATATGATGTTTTATATTTTTTTCCGTCTCTAACATACCGGTTATTAAATTTAAGAGTTGAAAAAACTTTAAATCTTATATATAATTTTAGTAAATAATAAAAAGGAAAATATGGACATGGAGTATCGGAAGAGTTAACGATTTATTTTTGGTAAAAAATATGAAAAGATATTCAGGATACTAACTAGAAATACTTAATGAAAATAGTATTATTAATTTTAATTATAAATATTGTTGAGTTGACATTTTTATTGTTTTATATTTCTTTATTTTACCTAAGATTTTTAATATATACTACCCCCCCGCTCCCTTTTTCAGCAAAAGAAAGAAAAAATTTAAAGCCCCGAGCCTGCTTACATAATACTAAAACGCTTCCTTTCTTTTAAATTCTGTCGTCAAATTGAAAAGGAATTGGTTCATTGAAGCCATTGATTGGTATATTAGTGCTGTGGTGGAATCCGGGAAATCCCGGGTTCGATTTCTGACAGCAACAATTTAGAAGTTTATGATTTCTTTAAAACTATTTGTGTTTATTTTTATTTATACGGTTTCGATCACGATTTAATAAATTGCTCGGAAGAAATAGGCAGGTAGTGTAAACATCAAATGAATCTGAAATACGATTCCTTAATAAAATGTGATTGTATTCTAATTATGTAGTTAAAAATCTTGTAAACAAACTTTTAATTTCAGTTCTTTGTGATAACTGATAACTTAAAACATTTTAATTACAAAACCTACTTCAATTTACCTACCTAAATTTCGTAAGTTACCTACGTAAATTTCCATTAAGTTTTGTAATAAAGTACTTAGGTATTACTTCTGTATTTAAATTATTACTTAATTCTTTTTTGCTATAACAATTTGTTTAACAAAAAAAATTTAAATAAATGTACCTTTAATTATCCTTAGGTAGCTTAAAAAATGATATATCTGAATCCACGCAACAATTATAGTGGGTTCGAAGTTTTGCCATTATAATTTATCAATTAGAAAGGTAATATAATATACACATATATTATTTTTAAATCACATTAAAAAATTTAACTATTTATCCTACACATCAAACAAAAATTACAAGTGTTTACAAAAAATTATTTACATAAACAGCGTTAAAAATACATCAATCGCCTAGAACGCGCTAGTCCCGACTGCGTATTACACCCTGGGTGAATCGTGATTTTAGGTAATTATTTCAGGCAGGTAGCAAGAGTGACAGAGGCCTGATATTGGCCATAGTTGCCACATTTGGCAAGCGGGTTGGCAACCGCAGCTTTTTTAATTTTTATTCGATATTAGGAGGACGCTACTGCCCATCTCCTGATTTGTTTCCCTTTGTCGCATCTAACGTCACCCACAGAATGATAGTGGGGTAGTGAAGATTCTTACACCGCCATTACATGGTATTACTTTAAAAAATTCTTTGTATATAAACAGAGAAGATAGTGGACTATGAAGCGCTTTTGTAAAGGCATACTCCCAAACTTTGATTAACATCATTATCATCACTATTACAGCCCTTCGCAAGTCAAATTCTAAAAATAGACCACTTTTAAGGCATCTGCAGTCATTAAATTCCTGCATGTTTTACCAAGCTGTCACTCCATCTGGTGAAAAGTCTCTCTACATTTCTCTAATCGGTGCCCTTTGAGAACCTTTCTTACCCATATTATACATAAACTGAACGATTTTTTTTACCGTCTGGAAAAACACAGGAGTAACACAGGTAAACGGAATAGAAGCCCATGGCACTGATATTTTACAATTTTAATTTTATTTTACATTAACATATTATGAAATTGATCTATCAATAAATACTAGTAATTGGGTACCTGCATATTATTTCAATTTCGATAGTCTTAAATTAATTTATTCATATTTAGTTTAAACATTTTGTCGTTATTTTTAGTACCGTAAATTTATTTCAAATTAGTCATATTTATTAAAAAAGTAAAAGCAAAAAAATTTGTTGACCTTGCAGGCCATCCCGGGAACCTTCTGCTAATTTCTAATGCGAAGCGCGTCACCAAAAACCAAATCAAATTTCACCAAATTATGACGTTAAATATGAAATATTGGTGTAATTTATAAAAAATTAATTTTTTCAAAATTTTTCGTTAACGATATATCACGAACGAATCAACCGATTTCGACCGGACCGGCGGCGTTCGATGTTGTTTTTCCAAAAAAACAGTTTTTAAAAATGTTTATTTTAAAATCTACTGGTCCGAAGTAGTTAAAATTCTTATAAAATCTAAGTTTGATGACAACACTTTGGAAATCCGCTTAGTTCATTTCAATCGGTCAAGCCGTTCAAAAGTTACACACACACACCCACACACACACATATACACACACACACACACACGCGCGCGTCAGACATACAGACACCTTTGGAAAATTGTCAGGGTGTCGTCCTATGACCTCAAAACGTCAAGATTTGATGAAAACTCAATTTTCGAAAAACGGGTAAAAACAATACGAGTATCTTCCCGAATTTTGAATATTTTCAATTTTCTTTGCGTGAAGTTCAAAATTGTAAAATAGCAGTGCTATAAGCTCCTATTCCTTTCCCCTGTTACACCCTATTTTTTTTCAGACGGTAAGAAAATCATAGAGTCGACTCATTGCCACTTTAGCTTGTTGATCTGTTGGGATTTGTCGGTAATTCCGTCCTCTTGTGATGTTTTGACAATACATTCCGACACAATTTGTTAACTTTATGGCAATTAACAAAAAATTGCTGTAGACATTTTTAAGTATTATAAGCTTATAAGTCAGTGCTTAAATACTATACCACCTGATGGTTAATGGTGATGCAGCCGACGATGGTTAAGCGTTCTGACTAACTGTTATAGCAATAGAGATGTTGCTGTAGACCGTAGATTTTTATCAATGAGGGCATCCACGACTTTATGTGCCGACATGACGCCGCCTTTTAAAAATGAGGTGTAATATTTGACAGAAATCATAGCGGGAAGTTTGTTCGAAAAATGTAAGGGCTAATGTTTCTTTCTATAGGTATTTTTAGTAATATTTTATATTAATTAGAATTAAAATAAATAAACCAAACCATAGATAATCATAAAAATAGCAAAATTAAAAAAATATTAAACATTTGCAAAAAATTAAAGGGCAAACTACTGAGACATTGTTTTGTATATTAATATAATACTCTAGAAACTGATAAACTTTTATTTAAAACTAACTTCTCAATTTAATGGCAAGGTTTAACAAAAACTTCATCTCAGCGTCATTTATTTATTTATTTTATTCGGTTCACCAACAAATGTTACACCGTATTCTTAATTCTAAGACAGTAATATAAACTAAGTGCACATTCAATAGTAGCTAAACACCGCATGCTTAGTTCTCACAGCATTTCTTACAAGCCTTTATACTCGTATAATATCTAAAAATATACAATACACAATTTTAAAAAAATTTATTCATACAAAAAAAAATTGTACTACAAAGAAATCAAAGAAATATTAATAGTTTGTTAAATTTTGTACCGAAAAACGTTGAAAGAGTCGTGGTGAATATCTACTACATTATTATAAGAATTTAAAAGTCTGGATATTGGGGAATTAGATCCTAGTACAGTTCTACGAAGGGGCGGCGAAAGAGGAGTAATGTACTTACGAGGATATATACTTGGGATACGTAAATTAAATTTACTTAGTAATAAAGGAAAATCTAACTTATTCCTAAATATTTTGTATAAAAGTTGCAAATCCAGAATATCCCGGCGTTTAGACAATGAGACCATTTTAAATGTCTTTAATCTGTCAACATATGATGCATTTTTATATGTTTTTTGTGTTGAAAAGGCAAGATGCCATAAAAATCTTTTTTGTATGCGCTCAACCGAAGGGTAGGGGTAGAATAATGGGGAGGCCAGACTGTTCTACAATATTCTAATATACTTCTAACAATTGAGAAGTATATAGTCGTCTGGTGAGCTGAAGATAATTAGCCCTCATTGATGTAGAACACGGCAATTTTACTTCATGTAATGCGTTGTTAGGTTTACGCTATCATATCGTAAGAACGTTTAGAACTAAAAGTATATATATATATATATATATATATATATATATATATATATATATATATATATATATATCCCCCCGTCTGCAAAACCTATAATATGGCGTCGAGTGATAGCAAACTATATGTAACATATAATTATATGATATATATAACATACATATATATCTGCATGATTGATTTTGTCTAAATTTGATTTAATAATGTTTTTTTTTTGTGAACCTCCTTATTTTTTGTCCCGATGTCGAGTAGAGCTAAGTGAGGCCTTTCTCGACCTTGTCGTAAACAAAAAATTTATGATTTTTTTTTTATAATTAAATATGTATATGTATGTATATAAGTGTATATCGACATACGAGTCGATATACACTTATACCCATATATATATATATATATATATATATATATATATATATATACACGATTGAGTCATTGGTCTAGTGGTTGGAGTAGTGCGACTGCTGATCATGAGGTCCTGGGTTCGCATCCCGGGTCGGGCCAAAAAAACAATTATTGAGTTTTTCTGTCAAGAAATTCTCAGT